TTTGTGTGATAATATATCAACGTTTAGTCAAAATATCAAATGGCCTGAACGACGGCTTGCCACGAAACGTGATAAATATTAATATAGAACAACTGGATTCTTGTCAGTGTGGACGTTCTTGATTTCGGCGTAACTATCTTTTCATTTCCTACATTAATTGGAAAGAACCACGTGCGATCATGCGATGAAGATACCCACTGTCTAATTTCTGTTCATAAAAGATCTTGAACTACACGTTGATTTAAAAAATCAATTTTATACACACATATAGGAATATCTTTAAATATTTTTATGATTAATTCGCAGCATCACAAATTTATTAGAAATGATAGACATATGATACGAATTATTTGATAAAATCCCTGGAAAAGTATCTTTGTGTTTCTATTTGCTAATTTATCGTTTGATTTCAGAGAAGAGGATTAACACGAACGAATATTGAAGATTTATATCGTTATCTGTTTTAGATTGAACGATCCTTATATTTGTCCGTATAGTGGACCGAGGAACAGCAATTGTAATTGTTCCACTATCGGGAAGACAACGTTCAGGAGGGTACGAATTGATCCTATAGAATTGTCTGTCATAGGTAAGCTATGATAAATATCTTTGTACGTATAAAAAAAATAAACTGATAACAAAATAATTGAAAAAAATATTTGTGTCTTTTAGAGAATGATTATACATTTTCGCGGATGACAGGGTCAAATCGTGTCGAATATGGCACGGCTGGTGACTGTAATAGCATTGCACACTGTCCTCAGGGTCGTTTTAGTATTAACTTAAGAGGCACTCAATTACAATTATCGTCCAGTGTTGTTTGGACGTCAACACATGGAACATCGAAAGAGATCAATAATATTGTAAGTGTATCATTCTATTTACTCGTCCATTTAAAAGGACATGTCATATATTTGTACATGATATTTTATTTGTTATTCATTTATATATAACTACGTCTGTAATTTCAGAGCAGCCAGCATGTCATCGGGAAATGTGGAGGCTATTGTGGCTTTTGCAAGCCGAAGAACGGATTAAAACTAGATGTTTTGCCACCCTAGTCTGCAGTATATAGGGCTCAATAATCTTCAAATGCCTGTAAAGTACAGGTGAGATTTTTTTTAAATTAATTTAATTAATTATTAATTGCAGAAGTAAGCTAATGCTCGTGTTCTCTATTCACGTTTGTAAATTTACAAGATTGATACATTTGACAATTAATCATATCGTTCTGTGAATGAATTGGGGATAAAAAAATTTTATAGTATAAACGTGCAACATTGCAGTTTCCAACAGGTAAAAATTCCATTAACGGATTTTTGAGCGTGTCGCAAAAGACTGGTTCGACGAACACAAGATGAAATCGACGAGATCCGCTACCCAACCGATCCCTACACCTCGAACTTGCTCTAAATTGTTCGCTTGAATCGTTGCCAGTCCGCCAGTGGATTTTTAACGATAATAATCATTGTACATTCGGGTGAGAAAGAGCTCTTGAAACGCTATTGACGAAATAGAAAACGTGGTAATTAATATTACATTAACGAGTCATTCGACAATCTGTATTGTAACATTCAATAGTTTAGTTCGACTATAAAGATCCTACGAATTAAAAAGTAACAATGATCAAGTGACTTTTCAAAATATCAATTTTTATACCCAATGTAAGATTTAGGGAAACAAAAAGCGGGGTATATGATCAATAAATTCTAAATAAGTGTACAAAATAAATTGTCACTCCGTAATGGAGTCGTTCCATCAAGGGATGGATCAGTCAAACAAGTCGAACACTAGTAAAAAAAAAAAAAAAAA